TAAATTATTATTATACATTTGCACAACAATGGAAATTAGCAGCACTGACTAACAGTGAGACAGTTTTGTGATCATTAATATGCAAAGAGTTGGAAGTTGGGGAATGGCTGCAATCACAGCATTGTAAGATGCTACAGTAAAGACTGAGCCCCATCCCTACAGACACAACCATGAGGGAAGCTGAAGAACATCATATCAAAAAGGCCCTGAGTAAATGTAGCTATCCCAGCTGGATATATGTTAAATGTACCTAAAGAATGCTCCAAGTGATCCAGGAGAGAAGAAAAATTGTTTCTCAAACTGAAAATGCTACATCCAGATGAACAGAATCAACTTTCTGGGATATCAGCCAAGAAGGTTCTGGTTTTGAATCCATAATCTGAGTGGGGCAGCTCTTTAAACTAAAAGCTGGCTATACAGTTCTAAACACACCTGTGAGAACACTCAGTTTGACATGCAGCTACACACACACTAGGCCTTTTCACTGACGTTAACACCACATGGGTCAGGTAGCCTTTAGTCCAGCAATCTGACCCATAAACACACTTGCTAACTCCACTGTGTTTCTGCCTGCATGTGTCCTCCCTTCCAGATGTGAACTGGGGCTCATCGACCCAGGCTTTGACCTACCACCAGGCCCTGACCCACACTCTGCACCTTAGTGGAGTGGAGGACCACATCAAGAATTTCAGGTACCAAACACAAACGTGATTGAGCTGAACCATTCTTACCTGCAAGTGTAGATGACACCTGAGTTATGGAAGCACAATATTATTACTCACCATGCTTGATAAACACTCAAGCTCGGTCCACATATAAAGCGATTGCTTGGTAGATCTCGGTTGGATGCTTATGGACATCTGGTTATGTTATCCTCTAATCTATTTTTCCCCAACGTCATGTTAGTTGATGGGTTTTCTTCATTCCCAAAGTCTCTTTAAACTGCTATCAATTGTTTATCTTGTGTTGTGCTAGGTTTATCTCAGCTGCTATGCTGGATTTATGCTCACATCGTTGCGAGTGCCATGCAGTGATTTTGACGTTGCACCATGTGTCGCACAACACAATCTTTGTGGTTCTTCAGCCAGTCGTTCACCTCTGAATTTTTGCAGCCTGAGAAGAACAAAATTTGACATGATAATAACTTAGCCTTAGTGTTTCATGAAACAATTTAAATTATTTACCATCAAATGGGGAAAAGTAGAGACTTTGTGGAGGGGGAGATGATTAATTTTCAAATGTATTGAAATTTATTGAGTATATTTAGATATGCGGCCTCATGTTGTGTGCATGTGTTCATTCTCTTAGAGCTTGCACATGTAACAAATTGGCTCAGTAATTGTTTTGTGGATTTACTGGACATTTCTCATGGTAGAAAACCAAGGAGGAGTTTAAAAGGCTGAATCTTTAAAAATCAAGAATTTGTTTTGTTCCTCTGAAGTTTTTCTCGCCTCTGTATTGTGTCCAATAATCCTATCATGCTAACATATTTGCTTTGATGTTCATTGCTCTGCTTCTGGTGTCTGACTGTATATGGGTGTGGGTGTTTGTGTGTTAAGAAGACTAAAGGTTACTGGGAAGGTCAAATGAAAAGGTGGCTACACATAAAGCATAAAATCAAATAATTCTGTAAACCTGGCAAAATATGGCATCCCTTCTCTGCTATTATAGATGTGGTAAAGGATGATGCAGATGCAGACTTGGTGGATGTTTTCTCTCATATGTGTCTTATTGCAGACCCCAGTGTTTGGTGATGACTGGTTATCCCAACTCTCGTCCTGCCCTTCTGGATCTGGTCCACAGTTTCACCAAGAATGTAGGCATGATGATCTGCGGCCATATTCGCACGGTGAGCAGATGTCATTTGGCTTGTTTTTTGTTTTTGTTTTTGCTACTGATGAATTA